AAATAAAAATTGCTTTTTAGTTGAAACTGAATACTTTATTAATTGTTTTGCATTTAACAGAGGAGATATAAAATTAATATCACTATTTCATTTTGGAAATTGTATTTGCAATACTTTAAACTTTCAAATGTAGAAATAGATATTATTTCAGGTTCAAATACATTCATTTGTAAATATTCATCAAAGTTAATGGTTAATCCAAAATATATTTGAAATGTTATTGATAATTTCATACAATGTTCTTAATTTTACATGCTTTGAATGAAGATATGATTATTATGGGTAGTAAAATAGGTCCTATCAATTTTTTAATAACTCATTAAATTGGAAGTAATAAGCCTTTTTCATAAACTATTAAAGAACATAGAAGCGAATAAATGATCAAGGTACTAGATTAATAACTTGTCGAAAGGGCAATTTCATTTTAATGATTGAACCAAGTTAAACTAATTCTGAATTGAAAAATAAATTTGGAATATTCACTAAAAATTAATTCTTGAACAATATGGCTATAGAATATATTTTATTAATAGTCATTAATTTACATTCCAATCATAAAATAAGGCTTACATGAATTTCTATTGTGAATAAAATGATTTATGTCACAAATCAAGTTAACGCTTACTAAATTCAAATAAATAAGATTGTATCTTCTAATAAGTATAAAATTAAAAAAGTCTCTTATTTTTAATATATATGGAAAAGTACTATAAATAATTAGGGTTTCAAATGATCAATCTTTAAATTCAGGATTAACTCATTAATAATTATCATTATTTTATTCAAGAATTTATATTTATTCTATAAGTGGATGAGAATAATAGTATAAATTAAATAAATAATAAAGTAAAATGTAAAATTTACAATTTCTATTAAAATAAAGCAATAAACCAATAATCTTACTAAAACATAATATTGAGATAAATGCAACAAGAAAGTATTTGGACAAAATTGCTTAATTAAATAAAAATGAACTATGAATTGCAAATAAGTATTTTTATGTTTATTATTGTAATTAATTATATTACAAAAATAATAATTTTAGTCTAAAAGAAACGAATAAATGGTTTTCTATAGATAAAGAATTAAAAGTAAAAGTAAAGTAAACTTATCTTCACAAAATTTTAAGTATTCATATACATAATAAAAGAATGATTGCTTTTTTAGTTTTTCTAAAATTCTTGTTTATCCTTATAAATATATATATTATTATATTTTTATTTAGATCATATAAAAATGCATCTATCTAATTAATTAAGTTAATATATAATTTTTTTGAGAAAGTTTATGTATGATAAGATTTTTTTGAAATTTAATAAATCCTCTTACAATTATGAACATTATTTGTAGAGAGCGCAAATAAGATAATTTTTGAAGAATTAGATTATTTCAAAAATTAATTATCTTATTTTTTTTAAATTTCTTAAGTCTTAATTTTTTGTGATTAACATTTAATAATTTGATATAGCATTTTATCTTTATAAAAATAATCTAATAAATCAATTCTTTTGACGCAAACAATATTCATAACAAAAGCCATCATACATTTACCAGATATAATCAAATATTTCTTGATTT